ACTGGTAAGTTATGTCTAGTGAATGAATCACGATCTTCAATCGCTAATTGCTCAAAGGAAATCTGACATAACTTTCCTCATAGAAACATGGCTTGACCCCAGAATTGAAGAGTCCGAGATTGTTGACGATGCCTTATAGTCTACACAGGGTGGATAGGGTAAGAAGCAAGAGGGGAGAGGTCAGCTGCATTTCCAGAAGCAATCTGTGCATACGTGTTATTCCTCATAATTTTTATTCAAAAGCTGCATGCATGGAGTTCTTTAGCAGTCCCATTACGATGTCTTGCGTAAGATTCGTGCTTTTATACTGCCCCCTCCCACCAAATTCAGTCAAGGACAATGATGATGATCTCAGTGAAATATTGTCCACTTTCGCTGGTTCTGACTGGATACGGTCATTTTAAGTGATCTTGACCTCAGAATCGACTGGGACAATTATGCTGCTTCCAATGCTAGCGCTAAGGATTTCCTGGTGATTTCAACCATTCCGGCTTCAGACAGTTGGTGCGACAGCCTACCCATATGGGTAACGTTCTTGATATAATTCTTTCCCACTCCCCTATAGTGCGTAATGTGACAATTACCTCCCGTCTAGGGACTTCCGATCGCCCAATAGCTCAATTTCTAGTGGATGTAGTGCTTTCACGATTCCAACAAGATGGATTGGTTACAAGTGTTTGATGGGTACGCTTCGGCGTCGAAGGTTTGCTATGATATCAAGCTATCATTCAAGAAGTTCTGGGATCACTATGAGCGTCGTTTGGCATCACAGTCTTCCATGAAACATGACGACGTATCTGATTGCGAGGAAGTTCGTAACGCTCTCATAAAATCTCTTGAAAAGCGATGACGTGGGCTTCTAACCTTGATTTGTCTATCAATTTGAATAAGTGTTTTTTATTTTACATGGGAAGAGTAACCGTTGTAGATTATCGTGTGGATGGTGCCTCGCTCACGAGATACGACACTTTTAGGGCCTTGGGGTTACAAACGACACGAGTTCGAAGTCTCCTCCCAGGTGGAGCATGTAACCAGTAGAGCATACGCTTCGCTTTTTGCTGCTTTCAGGAATGTCCGCAGCAACAAGGCCCTCATTCTTATTAGGCTTTGCGATTCCTATGCATTGCCTTACTTGGAATACGCTTTCCAGGTTTGGAACCTCACTCGCAGAATGGATATCCTAAGGCTAGAGCGTGTTCAGCAGGCGCCATTTACCTTCTTATGAGAAGAGGTTGCGAATGCTCGGATTGAAAACTTTGCGGTATAAGAGGACAGTGTCTAACCTCGTTTCAAAATTTCAAATACTTTGTAAGGAATTGTAGTTGGCTCCGAGTAAGTATTGGATATTCGGGCCTAATTCTCAGTTTTTCAGAGCCAGTTTCTTGTCCTGGCTCTGAAAAACTTAGCTAATGTGACTACATACCGAACGTAGTGATTAACCTTTAGTATGGTTTCCTTTCTCTCTTCCTAGTGTTGCTGTGTGGTCCTGATGCCTTCTGGCTATAGCTGACAATACTAAATTATTTCTACACCAGGGTTTTCACGTAGACACTGCTTCCCTTTAACCTTTTTTGATGGGCCTGAAATCAGATTGTTAGGGGAACCTAACATCCGAAAATCTGGTTTCGTGGTTCGACTTGCATGCCCTTGTGCTCTTGTCGAGTGGCGTTATCCCTAGCGCCATCCGCTGCTTCATTGAATCTCATCTCACAAAATCGGAACAAGTGTGTGCTATGCTTGCTTCATTTTGTTAGAGATAATCGTGTCAGGTGAACTTGAGGTAGAAAGCGTATCCACAACTAGCGACCTAGGATTCCCTTGACAGCCTCTCTTTCCGGTACTCTTATTGCAAGCACTATTGACTTCTAGCTATTCTACTTAGAGCTACTTTGAGTCTGTCATTTGGTTTTTCCCTTACTTTTCTGCTTTCTTTATTAGTTGTTGCATGTTATCAAACATTAAGTTTCTATACGTAAGGCAATAGCTTCTTTTTGCTTGGTGCTGTTATTTTTTCCTGGCTTACTTGGGCACACTCTTGTGAGTGTATTTAAAATAAATAATTAAGTAGTCTGAACAGGTCAGCTTACGACGATTTTAATGGAAAACCTCCGCGACATTTTTATAAGAGACTGTCTCGCGACTCACCTCCAGCTGGGATCAATAAAAGAGTAGAAAGCAGTCCTTGAAGCACTGATGATACTAGAAAAATTCCCGGTTAGCTGCTCGCCTGAGAAATACAAGTGTGCGCACTTATAATTATGAACGCACTGGATTTATAGCACAATGTAGAAAGGCTGTTGGGCATGCCCTCAATACCTCCTGCGACTTGCTTTATGCCCGCTTCTCAATGGCGTTTCTCAATAATTAGGCCTTTAGGACCTTAGAAGGAAACAGTTCAAGTTCAATACAAGTCTGAGGCAAAACTTCGTCCTTTCAGTAAAGTTCCTGTCGGTAGGAAAAAACGGCGTCAAAGAGGCATTATTGCGTGGAAATTTATGCGCAAACTTTCGCCAGTGGACAGAAATAACGTAGTAAATCGTGTAGTCGCACCTGTTCGTTGTTATGCAGAAGGCTCCAGTGAGGTGAATATTAGCATCAGTTCCATATAATCTCATGAATAACAGATTGCCTCATAAGGCCGTCGTTTTTTTTCTAATTAAACCTTTTTGTAATGCCCATGCTACAAATGATTTCCCATCTAGTCTACGTGTAGAACATTTCAATTCAACGTTCATTGCGAACGCGTTGAATTTCAGTACTGTAGAATGGGAGGTCCAATCGACATATTTCAGTCACACCGTTGAGTAGCTCTAACTCCATTTCTTTGAGACATACCGATTAGTGATTACCCTCTACTCATCGACGAACTATTGTAGGCATTTCGCTATCAGAGAGCTTTGTCGTTTTACTTTTTGGAGGTGGCTTTTCTGGTGACCGCTAACCCACAGTGGTTATTGAGCTGAAATTTTCCCTTTCAAACCCCACTGTGCTATGTCAAGTTATGTATCATTCTAGAGCTTTTGTTCTGCTCTATTCAGTCATGTTTATGTTTCTATTTTCGTACGAACTGGATTGAGTTTTAGGCCTACGTGATAAGACTTCTAGTGAACGAGAATGGCAACATTACTCCGAGAAATTCTCCCTGTAATATGAAAACATCAATCAGGCATGCATTTCATATTTGGTCGCGGCTAGTTTATAACATGTTAATGCCTCAGCGATGGAAAACTTATGGCCCAAATCTGACGATCCATTAACCATCCAACTCTTGGGAACAACTAAATCTGGAAAGGGACGACACATCGTGTTGAAAATCCTCACAGCAGAACGTTTAGAAGAGGTTGTGACCGAGTAGATCGTACATACATCACCGTTGATTGAGGTGAGAACAGAAATAGTTTCTTTTTCGGTCTATGAGCTTTTTGTCCACTGACCCTCAATTTCACAATGCTGCCATTGTAAAGGTAGCCATAGCCATAATAGTAGCACTTGTAAAAATGTGGGAGCTAAGCTTTTAGCGCAGTTAAGTCATTTGAGCGGTGTAAAAAAGTGGAATTTTGGTAGGAATGATTCAACTCGGAAAACCGACGCTACTTCTGGAACAACACGATAATTGGTTATGTTTTCCACATTATCTTTGAAGGACATTTTCCTTATGATGAGCAAGCGGATTTTCGATAAATAATTGGACTTGTGCCGTTGAGTTGTGGGGTGATGTCGTAGCATGCGATTCGCTTATCACACGTACTACATATAATGTCATCAAGACGTGAATCCGTTTTCACTCAGCACAAACTTTCTACGCCACATGTTGAGGAAATTTAATGGCTAGCCCTGCTCCGCTGTGGCTCCACGATTCAGCTTTGTCACGAGTCCAACCTATATATTACCTCGAATAACGAAACAGAGGATATCTTTTATTAGAAAGTTAAGGTCAGCTGCAGTGGATGACAGTGTCGGATGTCATAAAAAAGTTTAGAACTTTGATATATATATA